ATGTATAACCAATTTCTAAAGACCAAGTCCAGCGCAGGCACCACCCACAGCCTTTATTTTATTACATTTTCAGTACATCCCTTTTTCTTGGTTTCCAGTGACATCCCGGAGTTCTTTTTCCTTCTGTCCTCTGGCCATGCTGCAGAGAACAGCACTTGCGTTACTGCACGAAAGCCATTTTCAGCTGCATACTCTTGTGAGCTGAGGCTGGTATGATGATGCTCCACGTGGGAGTGGGCCCATGACGGCCCAGGTTAACAAACCATGTTTTTAAGAAATTAGCAAATATTTAAAGCGATATTAAAGTCTAACTGATTTAAGCCTTTTCAAATGCTGATGGAACCAGTTACAATGGATGCTGATCCTTAAAAACGTTTTAGTTTCCTTCAGAATCACCCGATTCCCTGTTTTAGGGCGGCTCCTTTCCTTTGCAGGACCCATGGAGACACCCTTGTGTGTGCTAGTAAGCTGCGTGTGTCTCCACAAACACAGACACAGTTCAGGGAAGCCGAGTTGGAGCAGTTTGGAAAGTGCTTAGGCAAAAATGTAAAGAAATACCTTGCAGGACAATGTATATTTGTTTCATCTGGATTCATTATTGAAAAAAAGTTTGAGAGTGTAAGTCTACTTTAAATTTATGTAAAAAATCAAGTTAAAAAGGAGAACTATGGGGCAGGTGATTTCCACTCATCCTCATCCTTAGAGCCGATATGTGACAAAGGAGCTGTCACAGGTCGTCTTTAAAGATCGGGAAGCGAACACATACCATCGCTCACTTTCTAATCATCTCCCTGCAAAGATATGACTGTCACTCCCCGCAGAGATTCCCTCTCTCCAATCCTCTAGTGCTGAGTGGAGGAACGAACAGGGGAGGGAGGCGGGCACAGCTGGCTCGGCCCTCTAGATAGGCAGAGCCAGCTGTCATTCACGCAGCTAGGTGGATCTCGACAATATTGTCGGGATCTGCCCCGGCTGCGACGCTCTCAGTATATCGCGGGCAACAGCCCGCTATTTACTGAGCTTTGGGTCCCGGGCGGAGGTTAGTATATGTCCTCCCCATAGTTCCCCATAGTTCTCTTTTAAGAAAAGAGGCTGCATAACTGCAATGGGCAGATGCTATTCGCATGGCACTAGCACCCCTAGATCGCGCACATGATGATATATATATATATCAATAGTTCGTAGTAGTAAGTCAACTGGACCATTTGAGAACGCCTCCAGCCATATCCCTTGAGCAATTAACAGCTATCCCAGACTTCATGGCACCATCATGATTGAATTATGTAAATCAGAACAAGGCGTTGTCGCAAACTTTCACACCTCCTGTCACGTTCTTGAAAGATTGGCGTCTGCATTTACACTTTTCATGGGGAGGAGTTTATAGCGATGGCAGATATAATGCCGATATGTTCCCAATATTTATATGAAAGGAGGAAGCCATTTGTTTGAGTGTTGAAGTTTTCAACATTAAAGAACAAGTCCAGCTAAATGTATAATGGAATTCTACACCAAACACGAATTAAAGTTGAATTTCAGTTGAATTTTGCCTGTGGGTTCAGTTCTTAGATTTACACAGCTCTGCTACACAGCACAGTCCTGTCTAGCGGGGCAGAAGATCTGATTTTTCTTTACTGTTCAAGTAACATTTACAAGACAGTGTAAAAAAACTACAACAAAAAACACCACACAGCACACTCATACATGTAATAGAAGTGATAAAAAAAAGTAAAAAGGTTTTGAAGCTATTTCAAATGCTGATGAAATCATTTACAATGGATGCTGCTCCTTGATGTTTAAAAGTATTAGTTTCCTGCAGAATTAAGTGATCCTCTGAGCACGGACCCGGATATCCTGTTTTAGGGGGGCTCCTTTCCCTTGCATGGTCCTATGAAGCCACCCTTGTGTGTGCTAGTAAGCTGTGTATGTCTCCACAAACACACAGACACAGCAAGGCAATCCACTTCCCTGATCCCGCTCCTTCCTCTTCCCCCTCCAAGCTAGTAGATGGTCAGCTGCTGAATACTGCTCTGTCCTTTGGGATTGTGCACTGGGCAGGAAGTTCAGGGAAGTGGCACCAAGAGAGTTGGAGCTCTTTTGACACACGATGGCTGTAATTGCATTAATTTGCTGGGCAATGTCTATTTGTTTAATCTGGATTTATTATTGAGAAAAAAGTTTGAATTTAATACAACTTTGACCTCTGTCACTCTGCTCTGTCCTGTGAGCATGCTTATCATCATAGGAGCACAGCAGCGCAACTGATTTGCTCCCTGTTGTTCTTCTCCCTCTTCCAGTCTAAACTCGGACTGTACAGCACTACAATAAGTTGATACCAGGTCATATTCCGGCACTTAGAGCTGCATTCCTTTGTTTCTCTTATATCTGCTTGGAGGTCAGCATTAGGATCTAGTACCCTACAATAATGACTTCACATGTGCACTTACTGACAATCTACTCTACTCTCCTTTTATAAATTCATGATATTAAAAAGATTCCATCACCATACTAAAAAATGCATGGGCCCTA